TCTTACTTTCTCTTCATCTCCAGCTTACTTCGTTTGCTACAGATGGAGTTCAAACAGCAGAAGTAATTTGCAATTAATTTATTCATTGGGAGAAAAGAAGAGATGAAATTTTACCCTTTCCAGTACACATGGGCAAAAACAAACTGCTGCAGCATCCCCTAGCTAGTGTGTTCTTCCTTATGAAGAGTTTTTGCCATCATACCTGATATTTCTTGACATGAGTATCCCAATTTTCCTGTGAAATGTTAAAGGGTATGAAGGCTTTTGGAAATTGACTACATATAGGGAAAAGGCCCCTCCAGTATTCCCTGTTGCTCCTGGGAGTTCTGTGTGCCAAGTTTGCTTCAGTTCCCTTGCTGTTGGAGTTCAGAATGCTCACTGATTGCATGTGAACTATAAATCTCAGCAGCTCCCAAATGCTAAGGTCAGTTTTCTCCAGACCCCTCCAGTATTCTCTGTTGCTCCTGGGAGTTCTGAGTGCCAAGTTTGCTTCAGTTCCATTGCTGTTGGGAGTTCAGAATGCACGCTGCTTACATGTGAACTAGAAATCCCAGCAGCTCCCAAATGCCAAGGTCAGTTTTCCCCAGACCCCTCCAGTATTCCCTGTTGCATAATGCAGAGTTTATGCACTATTAAATAAACAATGTTGTTAAACACATTAATTTGCAGCCATTTTAAAAGTAGTGAACACACCATATGGTCAATAGAAAATAAAGCAGTCACAAAACTTTGTGCAATGGACAGTTAACCATCAAATGCCTGGTTAAATACAACTACACCACTTTTACCATCCATGACTGAAATATTTCTCAAGTGAGGTATGTTTTCTTCTCTTCATTTTTGAAAAAAGATATCCTCAATTAAAGAGCCAGTGTGTTCTGGTTCAAAGGCAAATATATTGATAATGATGATATGGCTGCAGATTCATCAGTGTGATCATTTGGAGATATATTGCAAGCCAAGAATGTCTGAGATGGTTTTTTGATTCTGATGGCATGGTTCAGGCAGAAGATCTGTTCTATCCATGGGAATCTCAACATACTTTTTCCAGATACCCATTCAGTGCCAGTACAAATTCAATTGTAATTCAACCTTATCCAGATTAATTTGGACTGTGATTATTCCTCTCCAAACAAGTTCACATGCCATTTCTGTAGGTCATGGCTATAACTATTCATCACATGACTGGTCAATCTGCATGGATAACATCTATATTAGTGTAATACTTGGTTATCTCTCTGCCTTCCGTGTCTGCTATTATTATAAACAGACAAGGACTAATGTCTTGCCATACTGTATCTGTATAGTGTGGAAACAAATGTTCAAAAATTAAAGCAGCAGCAGCAATGCTAGTAATAATAGATAAGGCATAAAATCATAGTCATCATTATTTCATTTAATTTCATTTATTCAGTTTCTGTCTCAGTGCATCCCAAAGGCTCTGTGTGACTTACAACAAATAATTAAAATTTATATTAAAATAGGGGAAACAACAACAACATTAAAATGAATTTCTCTTCCTCTGTCTTTAGTGGAAGAGGAAAGACTAAACTCCCAATGGCTTTCCTCTTTTGGCTGCTGACTTGGGCCAAAGTGTACTCCAAAATTTTATTTTTTTAAAGAAGGATTGAATGTTCAACTCAAGAAAACAGTGGGGAACCTCAATATGTAGAGGAAGCAATGTTTTATTTATTTATAGGAGCACTCAAATTGAATAATGTGTTTTGAGTACAGCATATTCTTCCTTGGAGGCAATATTTTAAAAGAAATTTTGGTTGTACTCAGGTTTTTCGGTGAAAGTATGCACACACCCCAGGACTCACTTTGAAACACACTTTGCCTTAGGAATTCACACAGGTTCTAGGCTTCAAGTGCATTTCAGAGAAATAAAATATGCAAAAACAATAGGTATATTTTCTGAAATAAAGTGAATGACAAAATTTATATAATTTCAAAATATGGAAAAACATACATTAGTAATTAGGAAAAATGCATACCAAGAGGACATATATTAGGAAAATGCACAGGAAAAAAAATACAAGCTTTAGGGAGCATGAGCATCTGCGTGTGTGTGCCTACAAGTCACTTGCCAATTTATGGCAACCCCAGGAATTTCATAGGGCTTTCTTTGACAAGGAATACTCAGAAGTGGTTTTGGTAGTTCTTTTCTGTGGAATACAGCCTACAGCACCTGGTTTTCATTAGCAATCTTTCATCCAATCGTACCTTTAGCTCCTTAATCAGTTTACCCCCCCCCCCTTTTTTTTAATAATATGCCTCCTTGAAAGTTCTTTCTATCCTATTGCTTCCTTTCTGCAGGTACTAGCTGATTAATCTTTGGCTCATTTGAACAAAAACTTGTTGTCCCATTATGTTCATGAGGGTTTGTTTGTGCATGCCTTCAGGTTGCCTATGGACTCATGGAGACCCCATGAATTTCATATGGTTTTCTTCAGCAAGGTATACTCAGAGATGGTTCCACCAGTTCCTTCATCTGAAATTTAGTCTGCACCATTCATTCGTGTTCCCCCATCCAAATACAAGCCAGTGCTGATCCTGCTTAGCTTCCAGGATTATACAGGGTGTGGTGACTTTATGGTATTTAGGTTGGCAGCTAAATGTAGCTAATGGTATATACGAGTATTTATAAATTTCTGTGCAGGAAGGGAAAAGAAAGTAGTAGTATTGCAGTCTGATAAAAGACAAGAATGCAGGTGGGATTTAGGGATACACAATGTTCGAAAACCACTATATCATTTTCAGAGACTGAAAAATAACATGAAATCTGAGATTTTTTCCCCTCACGTTTTTTTTTTTCAAGCTTTGCCCACAATTTCTGAAAGTAGAGAGAAATATTAACAAAGTGCAGTCTTGTTTGAATATAAAATTATAAAGTAGAGACAGCATCCAACGCAAATTTGATGGAGCCGAGCCAGCATCTAACAGTTAGTCCAGATTAATTAATCTGGAGTAAAACTCCGCGGGGTTGTGTGTATACACTCTCTTGGGTTGATTTCATCATTTAGATACAGCTGGTCTGACTTTGTGAGAGCTTCTTTATGCTTTCACATAAAAGGACTGAATGACTAATGTAGCCTGCAAGGGCTGTCAGTCCATCCTTGAGCTAGCAGACACCCCACTGTTATTGACAGCTGCAACTAGGGACATGCCAGGTGGCAACCCATACTGTGTGGTGCTGTTCTTCCCTCCTTCCTGACCCAATCTCCCCCTCACCACTGTCATCTGGTTTCCTAAGCATGTTAAGCAACCAACATGGAACTGGTAAAATCTCCACAGAATTATTGCACTGTTTGGGCAACTGACACATAGGATGAAGATTTGATGTTGGCTGGAGGGCAGGCAGCATCTAGTTTTCAGGAGAAGATAAAAGCCGTCTATAGTGGGTGGGCGGGGGATAAACAGCCCACAAATCTAATGCCAAAAGGAGCTGGTGAGAGCTGGGGCTAGCGAGTAAATGCATAATGTAACAGCTGCATTCCTGAACAAACTGAAAATACAGTTCACTGCCCTGACCCTCACACTTTAAGCTGGCAGGGGGCTGGGAATATTTTAAGTCTGTTCAGCATCTAGCATTTGGGTACATAAGAGAGACAGAGAAGCCTAAAAAGCATTTCACTGTATGTCCACACTGTTGGCTGTTTCAGAAGACATTTTGAAGCATGAAGACAAAACTATATTAAAATGTAGGATATTTGAAGCCTCATCCAAGTGGTAAAAACAGAATAGAAAAGCAACTCTTTATTCATTTTGGGAATGTGGTCCTGACAATTGCATTACATAAAATGGTCAGTAACCTTTTCACACTATTAGGGCCCACATGTAAGTATTGCAGAAGAGAGTATGGTGTCAATTTAGATAGCTTAGACTAAGGTTACACAACTGAGCAAGTCAATTAACAATGCAAATATTTTAGACAGCATAATGTATGGTTAGCAAGGTGAACAAATCGGTGAGAATCTGGTGTTTAACCATTTCTTTGTGTAAATCATTGGGCACAATGCTTATCTCACTCTAGTTCCATATTCAGTAAAATTGGCTTTTCTTTTGATTTCTTATCCAGAAAGGGACAGTTGTGATGGTAAATTCAAAATTGACTGAGAAAGTACCTGGAAAGAGTATTATTTTTGTGTGTCTTCAAGTCATGGTGATCCTATGGCTAATCTGTCATGGGATTTTCTTTCTTTTCTTTGTTCACCTTTGCTTTCCATGGAGAAAGAATGTGACTTGCCCAAGATCATCCTGTTGGCTTCCATGGCCAAGTAAGGATTCGAGCCCTGCTCTCAAACTACCACCCTGACTCACAACAAGCAAAGTATAGACATGTACACTTACCACGGATTGGAAAGTGGATGTGATTGTGCTTCAGGCAAAGTCTGTCAGCATATTTTAAGCTCTACATGGAAATGGCTCCAGTCCAACTTCCCTGTCAGAACATATCTCCCTCTATGAACCTGTTCGTAGATTAAGATCATCCATGGAGGTCCTGCTCTCGTCCCCACCGGCCTCAGGTGTGGCTGGTGGGGATGAGGGACAGGGCCTTCTCGGTGGTGGCCCCACAGCTGTGGAACTCCCTCCTGAGTGAGATCAAGTCAGCCCCCTCCCTCCTGACCTTTAGGAGACAGCTAAAGATCTGGCTGTGAAACCAAGCATTCAGCCCATCATAGGAATATTTAAAGTTAAAATGAAAGTTGAAAGTACAATGACCCAGGACTATTTACGAGAATGGCTATGTCTCTGTGTGATAGGTGATATTATTTTATGTGATGTGTTTAATAATGTTTTATTATGGGAGGGTCAATTTTAATGTTTTATACTGTTTTATCGATGGCACTGAATCGTTGCCAACACTATGAACTGCCCTGAGTCCCCTTCGGGGTTGTGAAGGGCAATATACAAATATCGCAAATAAATAAATAGATAAATAAATAATAATAAATAAATAAAAGATACCAAAAATGTCCTTTTTTCATCTTATGCAGGTGTTTTATAGAAGACAAAAGCTCCAAGGTGGCCTGGTTAAATCGTTCTGGCATCATTTTTGCTGGTCAGGACAAATGGTCCCTGGACCCTCGAGTAGAGCTCCAACAACTTTCTCTTCTGGAATACAGCCTTCGGATCCAGAAAGTGGATGTCTATGACGAAGGATCATACACATGTTCAGTGCAGACACTGCATCATCCCAAGACTTCCCAGGTTTATTTGATCGTTCAAGGTAAGAAATCATGGCTAGAGGAAGAAGGTAGATTTTTTGAGAAAATCCAGCTGCTAGTAATCATAGTCAAGATTTCAGTGTTGTCTATGTTCATCCAACTTCTAGAGCTTCAAATTATATGTATGTTGCTATTGTGTTGAATTGTGAGCTTATTTGCAATTTTGATTACCTGTTACTAAAAGATGAGCAGTTGCATATAGGAATGTCATGCAAACCAACACTTGTCTACCTAGAAATAAAAACAAAACAAAACAGAGGACTGAATTTGTTTTACTTCCAGATAAGTATGTATAGAAGTACTACCTATACTGATACACATGAAGTCAATTGTTTGTCCCAGTCAGTGCTGACCCATTGCCTCAACTGCTGAATAATAAGTGAAAATATTTAAATTCCATTGCTTGAGTGGATTAATTATATTTGGGACTACTGAAAGGATTCACACTTTTGAATTCAACATATAAAGTTAGCCATGCCAGTATATGATCTTACTGAACAGTTAGTGAAATTCAACTAAATTAGCCAGGAATGACAAACTAGAAAAACTAGCTTTGGTCCAGGATGGCAGTTCCTAGGGCCCTTCTATACATGCTGCAAAACCCAGAAGTAAAAGGGATGGCGGTTAAATGACATTTATCTAAAGTGTGCGAGGTATCGGATTAAGAGGTAAAAAGCACATGTTAAAAAGGTGCACGTAAAACCGTATTCAGTCTGGAAAAAAACCCGCTCCTTTGCAAGACTGTATATCCTTGCAGCCATTCAAAACACATACTTTCCTTCCCTACCCACTGTGTACATGTGCTTTTTAAAAAGCCCCAAACAGCTTATCAGTTGATCAAGCTATATGGACACACAGGTGTTCCATTTAGAAAGTACAAATTCACGGCAATTAGAACTCTCTAAAACTCTTTATTTTTCACTTTATAATCTTAAATAGAGGTTGAATTAAGAATTGGGGGAAGAGAGAGATCACACTGACGTGTTTTTTTAAAAAAAATATTCTGCGAATCTGCTTGTGTTTATCTTAAGATATTTGCTTGTGTGCATATACAGTCCAGCACATAACAAGGTGATTTTTTTTAAAAAAAACTTCTGCCAGATGTTCCCTGACTGCCCTCCATCTTGATCTGCTGCAAAGGAAGGCTATGAGAACAGGGGGGCCATATCCCTGGACTGACAGGACTGTGTGTGGACCTGCTGTCAGGTCCTGAGATTTTTTACCTTACATTTAAAACATAGATTTTGGTGCTGTCTGGAAGTGCCCATAGTTCCATAAAAAGGCTATTTAGCTACAGGGCTTTGTTTTATTAATAACGAATTAGTGATCAATGGCATAATCATTTTTCTGCATATGTGGAGAGGGAGGCTTACGCAAAATAAAAGAATGCACTTTCCATCCCCAAACTCCAGTCTCAGAAAATGCAAAGAACCACCAATTTGTGTTTCCCTGCAGCATTATTGGTGTCGTATCAAAAAGGGAATTCTGAGTCATCCAAATGTCCTTTCTCCATCCAAGAATTTCTACATTTTAAAAAGGGAGGGGGCTTTAAAAATTAAGCTGCCAATAAGCTCAATACACATTTCTGTTTTTGCTTGGGGTATCTTCCAACAGAGATCTGAGATTTATCAGAATTCAGTTCCCCTTTCAGTGAAAAAGTAGCAATTTTAGCATCCTGGGAAGTTGTCAGTGAGGTCAATGTAGCAATGATGCAAATTATCTCCCTCTCCTCCACAGCATAATGCTATATTGATCACACATCTTCTTTTCTGTGACCTTGATTAGTCAGATGTGAGTGGTACAAATGACAGTAGCTTTTGGGTAATGAGTGAAGCAAGGCAATTTGACAAGATTTGTCTGATGCAACTAATTCAGTCATTCATTTATTTTTATTTTAGAATGTCAAGTGTAAAAATAGCATTTATACCAACCTTTTGTGTTTCTTGACAAGTAAACTAAAAGTACAGCCTGCTTCACAGAAGAAAAACATACTTCAATGGTAGAGCTGAAGTCCCCCATTTTGGGAGAACTACAATTGTCAGAAGACCTTAGCTAGCTAGGCCACTAGCCACAGTAACTGGAAATACTTGGAATTGTAGTCCCCAATGTAACTTTCCATAACTGGATCTCTTCCATACATATTGTGGCAACATCTGGGAGACATATACCATAGAATTGCTAGGAGGACCTGGCAAATTCCTAAAGAGAGAGCTCTTTCCCTGGGTGTAGCAGATAAGGGCTCTGTGGTTATGGAGATCTTATGGTTCTTCTGTGCCTCAGGTTCTAGAGAACCTCTGCCAGTGTAAAAACCATTTTATACATGAAACCAAATAAAGAACCAGCCTGGTTTGGCATAAGGCAATTTGTTTTATTTTTAAAAAACTGCCAAATTAAAAAAAATGCTTTTTTCAACAAACGTTGTAAATTTGTAAATCTGAAATTCTGTCTCATCTTGTTCAACATTTAGAGAGGGAGCATCATTATATGTATTGGAAGCATTTAAAAATAATAATACAAATAATAAACTTGATTTATACCCGGTCACATCTCCCAGAAAGACTCGGGGTAGCTTAAAATATGAATAAATACAATAAATAATATATGCAAAATAAAATAAAACAGATAGTAACAAAACAAGTAAATAAAAAGACAGAACATGATAAAACAAAATAATAAACAAACAGCAAGGAGTATAAAACATTAGTTAAACATATACTGAAATATGAGTTGCTACTAAGAACTGAGTAACTTTTCACAATGTTCTTAGAATTGTTATGGTGAGAAACTCAGAGCATGATGAAGATCCACATTGAAAAAGCTTGGAAGAGCCATGTTTATGAACTACAACTCAGTGGTTTTTGCATTGTAACTGGCTGTGATGGCTGGGGGATTCTGGGCATTGTCCAAAAAATAACTTCACTGAACTCAGTGGCAAAGTATAAAGGCCAGTACAAATGGACTAAGATGGCATTCATCAACTTTCAAACCAATTCCAGAACAATTTCCTTCTTATTTATACTAAGAAAGCTATAACCTTGATTGCTAATTTTCCATGGCACTTCCACACAGGCTAGCAAATATAAGATAGTTGATGTTAGCATGGGATAAATGAATTCTGGCCCATGAATACAACTGGTAATCTCTGCACAGCATTCTGCCTTTTTCTTGATGGCCTAGCATTCCCACTTCAGTGCTTTCTAGATTTATTCACAACTTTATTAAAAAGGAAACAGTAATTGGCAGTGCAAGATATGCTGGGACTAAAGTGCCATAAAAGGGAGATGAATTTGAAATGAAAGAGTGAAATGAGAATTTTTTTCCAGCAAGCTTTCAGTCATACCTCAGCTGCAGCAGCTCTGGCCCATAGAAGCTTTTCACAATCAAAGTTCCCTTTGAACACATCTGAATAATGCCTTTTGTGAAGGCTGTTCTACTAATTGCAGAGATAAAATTACCATCAGCGGAAAAGATGATATAGTTTTATTTTCTCTCATGCTAACCAGCTGTCTCAGTTTGGAGGCCTTATGCCCTTGACTTGTCTGCAAATCCAATAGCAAATTTAGGGATTGCAAATTCGTATATAAAAAGCACAGCCACTCAGCCAGCCACTTTGCTCCATAAGAAAAATCCCCAAATCCACAGTTGGCAACACCTTTATTAGGATCTTTCAAAATACCTCCATAAAAAAGGAACAAGCTTTTTGCATTATCCAAAACTTTCCATTGAACTAGATGTGATACTGAACAGGGAATGGGTAAAGCAGGGTGAGAAACAGAATTGGAAGAAGCCACAAGGGCCATCCAATCTAACCTCCAGTCATGCAGGAATATGCAATCAAAACACTCACAACAAATGGCCATCTGTTAAAAAGCTTTGAAAGATGGAGACTCCACCACACTCTGAGGCATCCTGTTCCACTGTGGAATAATACCATCAGGAAGTTGGCTTGATATTGTAGCCGTGCTATCTTCATCCTAGTGATTCATTCTGAAGATGGAGACACTAGAATGATTTGATTACTCTCTATGTGTACTGCAGGGCACTCCTGACAGATCCTGACCTTGACTCAGTGAGAACTGGGCAAATCACATATCTGAATGGCAGTAAATCTGTCATTCCTCTGATGATCAAGGCAACACTTTTTTCCCAGTGACTAAAATTGGAAAGAACGTCCCTGGCCATGTCTGTGACCATCTGGCTCACATTTGATGTTTGTACATATGAAAATATACCTGAGGATCATAGGATTTTATTTGTACAATTTTTTTAAAAAAAAACAAAACATGTCAATGTTAAGATAGACAAGAAGAAAAAAAGGAACCTTGCACAAGAGCTTAAGATCTCATCGGAGTTATTACAGAATAGGAGCTGGCTAATATACTTTTGATTCTTCTGCTGGTGGATACAATTGATGCTATAACAATACTAGCCCAATACTGACATTAACATTTCCTTTACAATTGCAAAGGAAGGTGACTCTCACAATGACTCTTGGCAAGTTAAGGTGCTATCACATTAAACTGTTATAGTGCTATATTCTACTTTAAGTGCCATGGAAACATTGTATGGAAGCATGGGATTTACAGTTTAGGGAGGAGCAATTAGAAATCTCAGCCAGAGTGCCATTAGGCCTAAGAATGGTAACATCATAGAGTCATAGAGTTGGAAGAGACCACATGGGCCATGCAGTCCAACCCCCTACCATGCAGGAAAAGCACAATCAAAGCACCTCTTACCAGGTTACAAACCCCAGAATTCCACAGGATGATTCCATGGCACTTAAAGTGAAATACATAGCAACGTATTGGGATAAGACACTTATTCTGTAGCTTAATATTAATTGTTTGTATGCACTTTGGTTGAAACTATGTGTTTCTTCCTGTCCTCACCCTTGGTAGATTTTATGAGTAGTCTCTGTTTCATTGATTTTAAAATCTTTTGGACTCACATTGATCTCTTCCTAATGTTTCTGTTTGTAAATGATAAATATTTATTATGCCAA